AGTCGAACCAAACGGGCCCTAAGTTCACTAAAGTCCATCCAATCAAACGAGGTATGGCCATATGAAACCAGCCACGTTTCTAGCCGCAAATGATTCGCGAAACAAAAGGAGAAGCAGACATTATTGTCCTCCAAGGACCTGTAATCGATTGCGGACATTATTCGTGTTTGAATCAAACAACGGATGGACATGCGAGACGTGAAAAGGCAAGATGATCCTAAATATGCAAAAGCTCATCCAAAAAAATCGGGATAAGAACAGTATCATTGTCATAATTATCGTCTGGCATTCACTTTGATACTAAAATTTTTTAAATAGAAAAGCTAGTAATTCAGTCCTAAAGACATTTATTGTATGAATTGCAAGATAGCACTAAATTTTTCAATTTTGTTAATGTAGTTTTAAATCTTTGTATGAATTTTCAATATAATCCTTTGGCCAATTTTCACCTAAAATTGCTAATGTGATCGTTTAGTCATCGCCGATCATCCTATGTGGCACGCCGGCGATCTGACTTAGACAAATTTCGAGTATGATTCATAGATACTATCTAATTACTAACTCGAATAGCATTTTTTTGTCGAGAATTGGATTTATTATATTACCAATATTATTGAACCCGAGTTAAGAATAAAATGTCTAGTGAAAACAAGGATAAAATGAGAGATTTAGATCACCATTTTCAATCACATTCAATTCTATCCTGTTTAAGTATAACAATTTTAAGAAATGATAAAGACTTTGAAAATATAACATTAGATATTGAAACTTTAAAAGAATGGTGACATTTTAATGATGTTCCTATTATCAAGCCACCTTTCCGGACTCACCATGAAAACTACCTAACTTCTATGATAGTGTTTGGTTGTATTAATATATTAATGTTTTATAGAACATCATTTGATTAAAGTGAAAATCCTATGAATTTTTTCATGTTCAATTCCATGTGTGAAGGATGGTAGACCTTGCTATGCACTATCCCATGTCAGGAACGTGATGAAAATGTTCATGTCTAAACTACTCAAGCTATGAAAAGAAAATGAAGGAGCAGAAGATCAAATTAATATGTAGTCAATGTGAGCCTGTGCTCTTCATATATACAGATGACTAAGTTAAGTAATGTTAAGAAGAGTCAACTAGAGTGATAGATCAAGTGACATAATAAACTGCAAATGGACCATTAAACAAATGAGTCATATGCAACAATTAAGAAAAGTTTGAAACCTTGCATAATTCTTCAATTTAATAAATGAGTCTTAATAAACCATTTCTTTTTTTCTTTTTTTGCTAAAAAGTAATGCCATTCAGTGATTATTTAAAGAGCCCTACAAGAATAAATTATTTGTTTGAGAAACGGGAGGAGGTTACACTCAATCACGAGGAGAGTATAGACCTGGGGTTGAATCTCCAAAGGACAAGGTGCGAGAGAGCAGAGCAGAGCACAGCATCGATGGCTAACGTGCAATCATTTTCATTTATGATGTTTGGGAGCTCTAGGTCCTTTCCTGAGGTCGCCGGCGAGGAGGATGGCCTCTACTTCAATTTTGACCCTGGAGACAAAATACAATGAATAGGGAAGTTTGGTTGGGAACTTACAGTGGAGATTCGCCAATGTTAAATTAATGGAAAAATCTCATCATCTCCATTTCAAAATGCTTGTCCTGGACGGACTGTAGTTAGGTAGCCCACTATTCTCCTAATGAAGCATAAGCCTATCTTATTTGACCTCATGGTCTTGAAATTTCATATTTTTTTTTTTACCATGAGACCAATAAACTATTTAGGTTATTTTTTTTTCTTTTTTTCACTTAGCAATTGAGTGGTATCTGAACCAGTTTTCACGGGTTTCAACTAGTCCACCTCCTCAGCATATTCTAAGGGCGCAATCCTCCATATTGGCCATTTTTTACGATATTGTGTCATAGCAAAAAATTCAATCTAAGGACCTAGATATTTCTTTACCACTAAAATTATTCATATATTATAATAATAGGATATAAAAAATTAAGTGTTAAGTTATACCTATTTAAATGGCTCGTGTGTATATTGAAGTTATGTAGCTCCACTCTTCCTGGGACAAAACAATAATCATATTTTATTTGACCTGGTGTACCAAATAAAATGAGGAAGCTTCATTATAAATATAATCATTGTTGCTCGGCAACAATGGAAAATGAAAATGAAGCTTGAAGGTTTGCAATTTAATCCGATCTTCGCCACTTAATTTTTTCACCCTAATCTTATACATAATGTATCTTTGAGAGAGTAAATCTAGGTAGCAACGACAGTAATGAAGAGAAAGTAACAAATATTTATTTTTGACCATTACCTAAAATTGATTTGTTATCAAGTGTTTTTGGACACTAGTTGAGCAATCAACTACAAAATCTTGGTAAGATTTCTATAATTCCTTTGTGAGATTTAATGATTGTTTCGCAAGGAATTGTGCATGCTAAATACTATATGAATTATCGAGCATTATTATAACCTCCGTTATTTCGCTTGATTAATAGTGAAATCTTATGCTTCTCTCCCTAAGGATTAGGTCATACCAATCGAATCATGTAAGTTATGTATCTAATTTACTTTTTTATTTTCTGGTTTGTTACTGTTCGATCATTTATTTTTGAAACAAAAATCAAAATAAATGTACCAACATGTATATTCTTAGTTTGGGTCATATGTATTTTCTTGTATTGGCCGATTTCTTCGTCTAATATACTATTAGCTATTCACTATGAAATTGATAGCATATTTATACACTTTGCAAGTTTTTTCTACAATAATGTAACAAATTTTAAGACACAAAATGTATATATCGAGATGTAACTTCAATTGATCCCATGCACCAGCACGGGTCACATTCTAATTGTTTTGAAAGCAAAAAGAAATTATTAGGTCTATATACTTTATCACTTTACTTAATAACGAGATATCCACTTTCAAAAAGTTGGTCATACATGTTGCAAAAAAATCAGTACAATGCAAGTTATAAAATTTTTTATGAACTGATTAATAAGAACCCTAAAGGTATTTTCTTTAGAAAAAAAGCGGTGGTTATTTTGACTGAAAATAAGCCGTGGTTATAAGTACAATTACTCATCTCTTTCGTGTCCGATCATGCGTAGCATGGCCACGTGAAACGCGCCACTAGTCTTGGCTTCAAATGATTTGCGACATTGTTGTTACTTTTGATAAAACAGCAAAAGGAAAAGGAGACATTATCGTCCACTAAAGACCTGAGTGGGAGTATGCACCTTACTATGGCCAATGTGAAAAGTTGCGGCTACTGCAAATGATTCCGCACGTTATCGTTGCCTTAGAAAAACAGCAAAAGCAAAAGCAGACATAATTGTCCTCTCAGGACCTGAAGTGGACTGTGGGACGTTATTCATGTCCGAATAAAACAACGGATGGACATGGGAGACGTGAAAAGACCAGGATGATCCTAAGCTTGCAAAAATCTTTCAATTTTATCAATAAAGTCATAAACATTTACGTTCATTTCCATGTAATCATTTCGGCTAATTTCCGCCTGAAATTACCAATGTGATGATTCAGTCATTACTGGTCATCCTATATGGCATGTTGACAATCTCAAATGGATAAATTTCGAGTATGATTCATAAAAACTACCTAATTACGAACTTGATTAGCATTTTCTTTTCGAGAATTGGATTTATTAGAGTGCCGATATTATTGAATGTGAGTTAAGAATAAGATTTTTGGTGAAAAAAAAACTCAAGAATAAAATGAGAGATCCAAATCACCATTGGGAAGGACATTCAATCCTACACCGTTTAAGTATAACAGTTTTAAGAAATATAAAAACCTTTGAAGATACAAGATTCAATATTGAAACTTTGAAGAATGGTGACATTTTAATAGTGTCCCTATTACTAAGCCACAATTCCGAACTCACTTCTTAAACTACCTAACTTCTATGGTTGTGTTTGGTCAGTCTTAATAAGCTAATGTTCCATAGAACAACATTCGATTGAAGTGAAAACCCTATCAATTTTCTCACACTCAATTTCGTGTTTGAAGGATAATAGATCTTGCTATGCATTGCGATAAATTTGTTTGTGTCCAAACTACTTAAGTATGGAAGAAATGGAGGAGCCGAGTATCAAGTGAATCGATAGTCAAGTCGATTTGTCAGACTCTTGTTAATGATGTTAGCTGGGACTCTCCACTTATAGAGGTTACTAAGCTAGATAATGTTAACAACAGTCAACTAGAGGGATATCCCGAGTTATATAACAAATTGCAAACGGACCTTTAAACAAATGGTCATATATAACAACAAAGAGAAGTTTGACACAATGCATAATTAATCAATCTAATAAATCAGTTTTACTATACCTTTTCTTTTTTGCTAGAAAGTAATGTTATTCATTGATCATAGAAGAGCCGAACGGGAAGACATAATTTGTTGGACAAACGGGAGGACCAGGTTACACTACATCTTGGCCTTTCCTGGAGTAGAGCAGAGCATCAATGGCTAACTTGCACTCACTTTCATTGATGATGCTTGGGAGCTGCAGGTCGGTTTGCGTGGTTGCAAGGCAAGAAGGATGGGAAAAAGGAAAGATCTGTGTTCTCCTCTCTCCATGGGTTTGAATTTGATTTTCTCAAGCCGCTTCCTCCATCAACGACGGGTATTTCACATCATTCAAGCTCGACACAGGCAATTTCAGCGAGGGGCTCAACTATAGCAGCACAAGCCACGACTGCAAAGTCAAAGCCCTTCTTTTTCCCTTTGGCTTCACAGACAGTTTTGTTGATCAACCCACTTTGCTTCAGTGTTGCTAGAACAACTTAGAACACTTTAAAAAGAAATGGGCCCCTTGTCTGCCATTGTTAGCAGAGGGAAGTAAGAAGAAAACAAAATGAAGGTGAACAGCGGGTGAAGTGCGCAAGCTTGATGGCGATGGAGATGGAGATGGCGAGGAAGGGGACCGACAATTTGGAATAATTTCGCCCTTTGGACGGGGCTTCCCTGACACTGCCAAAAGAGATGCCCACCAAGACAAAAGCCATCTCGAATCTAACTGGAGTACTTAATGCTTAAAAAGTCTTTTATTCACACTCGTCATTTGAAGCTGGTGTTCTGGACATAAGAACTCTTGTTTCCTCTCCGCTCAGTACACTTTGTTTCAAACCATCCAGGCACTCTTGTTTAATCCTGTACCTCTCCCGAACCAAGCCATGCCCATCGCGGAGCTCTTTCTTGGCGCCCTTCTTCCGGTGCTGTTCGAGAGGTTGGCCTCTCGCAAGCTGCTCAACTTCGCACGCCGTGAGGGGATCGATAAGCTGCTGAAGAAATGGGAGAAGATGCTGGTCAGCATCAACCAGGTGCTGGATGATGCAGAGGACAGGCAACTCACCGGCCATCTTGGGGTGAAGTTGTGGCTCGAAGATCTCACAAACTTGGCCTACGACATCGAAGACTTGCTTGATGAGTTCGCCACAGAGTCTGCGAAAAATAAGTCCAAGGCAGAACCTGGCACTAGCAAGGCGCGCTCCCTTCTTCCGAGTTGCTGCTTAAAATTGAGCCCGAGAGCATTTATGTTTGACCGTAAAATGGGAGCCATGATAGAACAGATAGATGACAGATTAAAGTCTGTCATCACTCAAAAAGATACTCTGAATTTGAGAGAGAATAAGGGGAATCGATTAGCATACCCCCGACAGGGTGAGCCACATTCCACCACGTATTTGCCCGAGCCTGGTTTCGTTAGTAGGGAGAATGAAAAAGGGGAGATCCTCGACTTATTGACAGGAGAAGAGGATGAAAGAACACGTGCGGATCTAAAAGTGATTCCTATCGTAGGGATGGGAGGTGTTGGGAAGACAGCTCTTGCTCAGCAAGTCTATAATGATGCTAGAGTCACCGGCTACTTCGATGTAAAAGCATGGGCTTGTGTTTCCGATGATTTCGACATGTTTGCTATTACAAAGAGAATTCTGGAGACTACTAGTGGCAATTTGTCCTGTGAAGGTAAGGACCTGAATTGGCTTCAAGATAAGCTCAAAGAAAACCTTTTAGGGAAAAAGTTTCTTGTTGTTTTAGATGATGTTTGGAACGAAAAGTATGGAAACTGGACTACCCTTTTGAAGCCTTTTCAATCAGGAGCGAAGGGAAGCAAGATCATTGTCACGACTCGAAATAAAGGCGTTGCTTTAGTAGCCGGTGCTTCACCCTATTATCTCAAAGAGTTGTCAGAAGATGCTTGTATGACTTTGTTCGCATTTCATGCCCTACAAGTAGGACATTTTGATAGTCATCCCCATCTTGAAGAATTAGGTCAAAAAATAGTGGAAAAATGCAAAGGGTTGCCATTAGCCGCAAAGACATTGGCCGGGTTGCTACGCGGCAAATACGATCCCCAATATTGGAAAAATATATTGAAGAGCCAAATTTGGGACCTACCAGAAGAAAGAAATGAGATCCTTCCGGCTTTGAAACTTAGCTATCTCCATCTCCCGTCCAATCTGAGGAGATGTTTCGCTTATTGTGCTATATTTCCCAAGGACTATGAAATTGAAAGGGACGAGTTGATTCACTTGTGGAGTGCAGAGGGCTTGCTAGAGGGAAAAGAAGGAAAGAACCGTTGGAATACAGGTTTGAATTATATCGACGAGCTCATATCGAGATCATTATTTCAAAAGTCGAGTAGCAATAAATCACGATTCTTGATGCATGATCTTGTGAATGACCTGGCAAAGCTAGTTGCCGGTGCAACCTATTTTAGCTCAGAGGAGTTTGAGTCTGAGGGTTATCAAAATAATGCATTTTTAGCTCGTCACGCCTCATTCATTTGCAGCAATCATATTGTGCCACAAAGATTAAAGATATATCAGGGTATGGAGAGACTTAGGAGCTTCATATCGATAGAGAAATCAGGGTACCATGATAGGTCCTATTTGTCCAAAAAAGTGCTACGTGACTTGTTGTCTGGATTGATGTATTTGAGGGTGCTTTCATTAAGTCGCTATTACATCAGAGAGGTACCGGATTGCATTGGCAAATTGAGGCACCTAAGGTACCTCAATTTGTCGTATACTGATATTGAAACGCTTCCAAAGTCGATTGTTGCATTGTACACCCTAGAGGTTTTGATATTGCAGGGTTGTCATTACCTTATTGAATTACCGGAAGGTATGGAGAAACTGATCAATCTGAAATGTCTCGACATTACCAACACTCAGAGTCTAAGAGTGATGCCGTTGTATATAGGTAATTTGGTGGGTCTTGAGATGTTGTCCAAATTTATAGTGGGAATAGAAAATGGGTCGAGATTGAAGGAGTTAAAAAACCTGAATAACCTCGAAGGGGAATTGTGCATCTCTGATTTGCATAAGGTTCGAAAAGCCGGAGATGCCCAGGATGCCAATTTATGCACAAAGGAGGGAATATGCCAGTTGAACATGCAATGGTGCAATGATTTTGAAAATTTCCGAGATGAAGAGCTTGAAGCGGAAGTCCTGGACTTTCTTAGCCCTCACCAAAACCTTGCAAATCTCGAAATATCAAACTATGGCGGCCTAAAATTCCCGTCATGGTTAGGAAGCCCCTTATATGTTAACATAGTACATTTACGTCTACATGGGTGTCGTAGGACCAAAGCATTACCATCACTCGGGCAACTATCTTCGCTGAAAGAACTGTACATTGAAGGTCTAAATGCAATTTGCAAGGTAGGATATGAATTTTATGGAACTAGAAGTCCTTTTACGTCCTTAAAAACTCTAGAATTCAAGGACATGCCATTGTTGGAGGACTGGTCTCATTGCGTCGGCACTGAAGAAGTAGGAGTTTTGTTCCCTCTTCTTGAGCATCTCGTCATACGGGATTGCCCTATGTTGATCGGAAGATTGCCTAGTCAACTAAGCTCCCTCATAAAGCTTGAAATGAACTCATGTCCTCGTATGGATGCCTCGTCCTGTATCACGAGCCTTCCATCTCTTAAGAAATTAAAGTTTGGTGGTTGTAATGAAGGGGTGCTGAAGAGTTTGGTGAACCTGACATCTCTAACCGCTCTTGTTATAGAAGATGTTGCTAACCTAGCTTGCTTAAGTCATGGGTTTACAAGCTCCTTGATCAAACTGGAGGAGTTGGAGATGGAAAGTTGTGAAAAGCTAATGTACTTGTGGCAAGACAAAGATGCAATTGGGAATCTCGCTTGCCTGAAGAGGTTAGTCGTTCGAAATTGTTCGGAATTCATATATTTTGCGGTTGGAGAAGGAGATATAGAGCTGCCTAGCAACCTCGAGACTATCATATTGACAAATTGCGTCAATTTAGAGAAGCTCCCAAGCAAAATGCACACTCTCTCCTCTCTTATAAACTTGACGGTTGGTAACTGTCCAAAACTTGTGTCCTCCCCCGAAACAGGTATATCGACATCGGTGGTATCATTAAATGTCGAAGGCTGCAATATGTTGCGGTCTTTACCCAGAGGATTAAGTATTCATCCGGATGGACCAAGCAGTGGCAACAGCAGCAGTAGTAATAACCGCATTGACATGATGCCTTGTTTGCAAGAATTAACAATCCTCGAATGCGATTCTCTGCTAGCCTCTCTGTTCAGCGAGGGTAGATTTTTACCTACGACCCTCAAGACACTTGAAATTAAGTCCTGCAATGGAGTGGAGTCGCTTGCGGAGATAAATGCAGACCGTCTTCAGTCGCTTCAAAGTATTAGAATTTGGGGTTGCCATAATTTGAGAAGTTTACCTCCGTGCATGCAGACACTGTCCCATCTCGCTTCCTTGGGATTGCACGGCTGTCTTGCTCTCGAGCTAGAGTGCTTCCCTCCTCTTCCTCCCAGAATCTCGAGCTTTTCTCTCGGAGGGTGTCCGAAGATAAAATCGTTCCCTAATCAATTGCATCGACTTACATGTCTCCGTGAACTCACAATTTATAATTGTGAGAGTATTGCGCGCTTCCCCCACGGAGGATTGCCGCCCCAGCTACAGAAACTTTTGTTAAGGGGATGCGGGAATATGAAGCAGCAGGTGAGGGAGTGGCTTACCCCCCTCACCTCCCTTCAATCTCTGCATATCGACGGCAGGGTGGGAGGAGTGGGAGAGGAGGAGGATCTTGTGCTTCCGCTCCCTTCCTCTCTACTCCATCTCGGTATCTATGATATGGGGAACGTGAAAAGACTGTCCAGCAGTCTCCCTCCCTCTCTCCATACCTTACGGATCTACAATTGCCCGAAGCTGAGGCAGTTGCCCCTGGATGGCCTCCCTCCCACCCTAGAATACCTCCGCATCTCTGGATGTGGTATTCTGGAGGAGCGATGCAAGAAACCGAGCGGCCGCCATTGGCCCCTCATCCGCGAAATCCCACTAGTTATAATGGGGAAATTCTCATGGGAGCCAATTACTTAAAAGAGGATTCGGACTCGAATGCTATGTATGGAAGAGACGGGGGTTTTTGTATATCTGAGCTTTGGCTTTTCTTAAAGGGGGTTCCGTATTTTAATTTTTAGAAGATTTTAGTAGTAAGCTTGAAGAAGCAGCAGCTTTTGGGCGTAGCCAGGGGGATGTCGACACTCCCCCCAATCACACCACCGTCTCCTTCCCCCCGTGTTGGTCCGCACCTCCATCCCAATCACAACCACCGCCTCCGCTTCTTCGGCTCTCCACTCCGTCCGTTTTCTCCCCTCGATCTCGCGAAGATTTCTATGGCCTTGATATACTTCGGTAAAAACCAGGTATTGATTTCTACTCAGACTTGTTGACGGGCTGCTTGCGCTTCGAACTTGGATTTCTCAGGCTGATTTTGTCTTTTTTTCTTTTTGGGCATTCCGCCTGTTTTCTGCGCTCCCTCGTCCGCCAATTCTTTTGTGCTCGCTATGCTCGAGTGTCATAACCCAAAGATTCTCTCCATCTTTGCTTGCCTCGCAGGTTAACATTGGCAATTCCCATCGGTGGAGCTTGTCCGGTACGACCCAGCGACCTATGGAAACGTCTATGTACCCTTTCCCTTCGCCGTCGCCTCCTCGCCGGTACTAAGTCCTAGACTCCTAGGAGGAGGAGATGCTGAAGGGGGAACCCTGGATGTGAGATTGCTCCTCATTGTAGGGACGAAGGAGAAGGGGTACATGCCACTGCGGGCTGGCTTTCTTGTTTACTTCTCCACTTTGGTGGAAGCTTTTCCCATGATTTTTTGTTGGTTCTCGAATTACTGGCGGGGATAGAGGTATGCCTGTGTTCTCTTTCCCTGTTCAATAAATGTCTTGTTTTTCCCCGGATGTTCGATCCGCTAGATGAATCTAAAGTCTGGACATGTTTTATATGATATGAATAAATAGCAAAGACGAGTGTGAAAAATGTTTGAAAGTTGCATCACTTCGAAAATGGGTAGCTCAGAACTTCAGAATGGATAGAGCAAAGTTCATGTCATGTTAATGGCGGATAGGTACTCCAAATCCTCTTTCCTGTTTTAGTCTGGAAACTCCATTTGGACACATTTACTAAGTTGTGGAATGTACCTGACCAATTTCCCTTATATCTCTGATTCTGCTATGAGAAAATTACTTTTGCAGCATTCGCCAGAAGTGGAAGGAACTCGGTATTAACTTTCTGTCTGCATTTACAGATACAACATCGACAGCTATGGGGGGAAACAGATTTATTGCACCTCAACCCTTCCATTCCAGCATTTTACTCACCATCCAAGACTAAGGAATGGTTTAGTCGGTTTGAGTACAGACACGAGTGAAGGCGTTTTGTGGACTGGATAGCACTCAATGAAATCTTTGCCCAAAGTTCATTTTGATAACTACTCATATTCTGCTTTATGGAATCAAAGATGCATAGCCCTGGACTCTGGAGTCGCTGGTTGGCAAAGTTTAAAGGGTGAGTAGATTTGTTTCTGCTATTTCTTTTGAATGGCTGTTTAAGAGGCAGGTAATGATCATGGGGTATAATCAGAATCTAAAAAGAATGTCGTCTGAAGGATTAGCATATAGTCCACATTCAACTTGTTTTGTTAAATTTCCGACAAATTGTCCGCATTCTACTTGTCCATTTCTAGCATTGTATCAAAGCACATGTTAATGGTTTAACATTTCTCGTCTGTTATGTTGTTTGTTATCATTTCCCTGGATATCTCATTAACATGATTACGCCCACATTCTGTTGTGCGTGAGGGATCAGTTCTACACAAGGGGAGTGTTAGGTTGTGCATTATATATACATTGCTTGGTACGTTTGCTAACAGCTTAAGCTTTAGAAATATGCATTTATCTCACTTGCAGCAATCAAATCAAACAGCATGACCAATCAGCCAACCCCATGTTCTTGTTTGGTTCTTTCTTCGAGTAATTGTGGATTGTCTGGAAGACTTTCAGACAAGGATTATAAGCCTCTCATAAAATCATCGAATTACAATAAGATTTAAAGCTTGGACAGTTAAAAGCCACTCATATGCCAGTGAACTTCAGCTTATTAAATCTGTTATTCATAGTCGGGTTAACTATTAGTGTCAACTCTTTTTGTTGCCCAAGAAAGTTTTCAAAATTGTTGAGCGAAAGTGCAGAGCTTTCCTTTGGAAGGGAGATCTTGATGCTAAAGAGGGAGCAAAAGTTAGACGAGACACTGTCTGTCCTCCTAAGCAGTTTGGAGGCCTTGGCATTCGAAGTCTGGATTTGTGAAATCTTGCTTGTATTTTTAAGTGTCTGTAGAGTTGTTGAGGTGTGGTCTCTATGTTTTGCCTGGCTCTATAGCTAACATCTTGACTGTAAACCGGATGCTACTTATGCATGGAAGAAGTTATTAAAGGTCGGGAATATTTAGAAACCCTGCATTATACAAATAGTGGGTAATGGAGATAATATTTCTCTTTGGTATGAATTAGGGCACCATGCCGGGATCTTGCCAGAATCATTCTCAAGGAGAATAATTTATTACTCTTTTCTTCCTCCGCAGGCCAAAGGATCGGCTGTAGTTCTTAACTCTCATTGGAAATGGCCTGCTGCTAGGTCTGAAGAGTTGGTTCCCATCCAAGGTGCGGTTTGGTGGTGTGATTTTTCCTGGTTCCTCAGCGGCAGACAAAGTTGTATGTACAGCATCTTCAAATGGTTGCCTTAATTCTTGTGTCGCTTGGGATATTGTCAGAAACAAGAATGCTGATGTTGACCGGCACAAACTTGGGTGGTTCTCCCCTAATCTGCCAAGATTTGGCTTCATTTCTTGGTTAGTAACACCTGATGAACTTCCCACTTTTGACAGGATTAACAGTTGGTCTGTTGGGAGTACTGGATGTCTCGGCTTATTCTGTAATCTAAGCATTGAATCTCACTGTCGTCTATTTTTTGAGTGCAGCTTCTCTAATCGACTGCGCGGCAAGGTACTGCAACTTTGTTCTGTCAAACTAATCACTGAGTCTCGATGTTTAATGAAATCAAAATTATCAAGTTCTGTTAAAAATAGTTTTGAGAGTTGTCCTGGTCTTAAAAATAAGATTGGCATTGATAAGCATCGTAGGTTGCGTGTTGCTTGGAATCTAACTGTGCGAAAACTATTTAGCTAGAGTAAGGTTTGCTTGAGTTTGTGCTTATTGTTGCTCTTTGGTGTGTAGAGTTGTATGTTTTGCTCTATGTCATCTCTATGCATGTGATGGCATGGCAGATAGATGTCAACTTCAACCCTCTTGTTTGGGGTTCAATCTTTATGAGGTCCAATTTCTATATTACTGGCCTTCGCATTTCTTCAAATAGTTTTTGAGGAAGAACGCCAATCGATGAAAAGGAGTTGCTATAAAAGTGAGAAAGTAAATATTTAATTAACTACAAGATTCAAAGAGAGATTTTACAACATTCTACTCTTTTTGTGGTTCATGTTAGAATTGATCAGTATAATATCTGAGCTGGCTCTTTGAAAAGGGTTCATAGTTTGGACCCAAAAATTAGGTACTTAAAATGTGTGCTTTAATTTTAGCAGATCATTGGTAAGCTGAAGCTATTGGCACCTCATCCGCGAAATCCCACATGTTGACTGCACCTCAATCACAACCTTTGCTTCGGCTCTCCACTCCGTCGTCCTCACCTCGATCACCGTCTCCATCTCCCCTCTTTGTCACACCGATGCTGCTCCAGCTCTCGCACGATGTAGTTGCCCCTCTGTGCCTCCCACCGCTCATCCCCATCTGCAATGCCCTTGAAATGCGTCTCTCCATGTACACGACCAGAGCCTTCCCTCGTCGACAAGGACAGGGTACGGAGAATTTACCTGATTTCTTTGGATTGCGCTGGCTGATTCTGCAGACATGGCTGAGAATTTGTCGATCCGAGAGCTCGCAGAGAGATTAGAGCGAAGTGATTTTGGATGCTTCAGCGAGAGAGAGAGAGTTGCAAGCGGAGCGACGGTGTCGTTTCTCTCTTTTAGCTCCCCAGGGCATGTATAATCCTGGGAATTTCTAAGGTACACTTGGAAGTACAATCTGGTGTCTCCATACTGAACTTGATCGCTCCATTAAACCATGTCAGTAGGTTACGAATTACGGCAAGTCTGCTTTGAAATAGGGGGGAAAAGGTGGATTTTTTTTCTGTAATTATGAAGTTATTGCGCTAGGAAGTGGTTGCTTTGTTGATTCAAGATGAGTTTAATACTCTTCAATCATGAAATGGGTTCTTAGAAATCTCTGTTCTCGACGGCTTAAATAACCATTGTGGTTAGCGGAGTTAAGATGAGTGTTGGAGTATCCAGATTGTGAATTCGGTCCTCAGATGGATTCGATGTGGTTAACCTCTTAGACAATTCATCGTGTTGTGAAGATAATGTATTGGAAAAAACTCGAAAATCGGCTGTGTTTCATTTTTAAGTCAGCAATTAAGTGAAGTTGTGAGGGGATGGTTTTGTTTACTCGTAAAATTGAACAAACAGAAGCGAGACCCTTTTAAGTACTCAGAATGCTGTTGAATAGAAATTCTGTGTTAATTGTAATCTAGACTGAAATCGATAGAGGATTTTGCTCCTGAAAAGCAGGGGTTCATCATGATACTATTCAGTTCATGATGTTGCGAGGAGCTCATCAATTTGGGAATTCTGATGTTGATAGGTGAGACTTCCAAGAGTTGTTCAGTGAAGAAGGGTGTGAGGCAAAGCTACGGTTGAATAAAGAAGGGAAGTCTCACGTGACAGATAACTCAAATTACATTGTAGACTTGTATTTCAAGACTCCGATTAAGGACGGTCCCGCCGCAGGAAAGGAGATATCTTCGCTGGAGGCAGTGGTGGAGCACGGGTTGTTCTTGGACATGGCAGCAGCCGCGAATATTGCCGGAAACACCAGCTTAGATGTGAAGACAAAGTAACATTTTTGGCCAGCAGTCACCTTGGTGAGAATTGCAATCTTCATTAGATTCGAATTGATGTTATCTGGCATCTCCTGAATGGTTAATCATGTTCCATTTGTTCTAGATCAACTCAAATGTCCAGATGGGTCCTCCCATGCTCAAAAGTGTAAATCATTCCATTTGCGGCAGCCCTTGTAATGCTCATTATCGAGCCATTTCGAATATACTCTGCTCATCAGTTTCTGCTGTTATGATAGACAATTGCATTCATAGTTGTAACTTGTGAGTACGCTCCTGTCGACTGTCGCATATCCTTTGTTTATTATTCAGTATTGCTAATGAGACTATGGAAGTGATTCAACTGAAGGGAGGCGAAAACCAGAGGTTTCTTGGGTGAAGCGATTTGTCCTTCGATGTTGAATCATTGCATTCATGCATGATACATGTCATCCTTTTTTGTTTGAGGTTTTTTTTTTTTGGAGAAACTGAAATTAACAAATACTGGCTGTTCATATAGAATGGAGAGAGCGCGACTAAAAGATGGACCTGCTAATTGAAGAAATTGAAATTCACCGAACGATGTTTAAAACAAATACATGCATCCAAGTAACCTCTAACTGCAACTCCAATAAAAATGCAATGAGATTTTTAATATTTTTTTTCTGTTTCTCCTCATTTTTTTTGATACTTTTATGTAAGGCACATATGACCTAAAGAAAGCCACATTAAAAACACGTTTAAAGTTGATAAACTGAAAGGCAAATTCGACAACTAAATAAACGTGACCATGATATGACTTATCGATGCATGATTGAAGTGTGAAGTTAATTAGAGGTAAACAAAGATTACTTTGAACTTGTATCTACACTATCATGCATGGATTAAATGACTTGATTACTTGTTAGCATTTTTTCTTTGTCAAGTTTGACGGAGTTAATGGAATAACTTGATTGTACCAACTTGACAAGTTTTAGAATCCAATGACACTTTCGTGACAAGTTTTAAAATTTCCAATATACTTATCCCATTTATGTTATGTTTTTTCTTTTCACTCAACGATCAAGTGGTATCTAAACTAATGTTCCTACGCTTTAACTAGTCCACCTCCTCGGCCATTTTAAGAGCGCAATTCTCCATAATGGCCATTTTTTACGATATGATGTCATAGCAAAAACTGTAATCTAAGGACCTAGCTATTTCTTTACCGCTAAAAATACTCACACTAGAATAATAGGATATGACTAATTAAGTATTAAATTCTACCTATTTAAATGGCGGGTGGGCATAATGAAGTTATGTAGCTCGTCTCTTCCCGGGACAAAACAGTAATCATCTTTTATTTGACCTGTGGACCAAATAAAATGAGGAAACTTATTATGAACATAATCATTGTTGCTTGGCAACAAGGGAAAAAAGAAAATGAAGCTTCAAGGTTTGCAATTTAATTGGATCTTCGGGGACTTAGTTTTTCACCCTAATCTTATGCATAATGTATCTTTGAGAGAGCAAATCTAGGTACCAACTACAGTAATGAAGAGAAAGTAACAAATATTTATTTTTGACCATTATTTAAAAATGATTTGTTATCAAGTGTTTTTGGACATTAGTTGAGCAATTAACTACCAAAGTTTTGCCGCTTTCAACGTATTGAGTTGTCGTGTTACGTGGAATTATGATAGGGATCCATATGATGAATGGTTGTGATTGTTTCGAACTGCATAAACTAAGTTTGTGTAATAACTACTCCTTTATTTGATAATGTGATGGGGTTCATGCATCAATGGAACGATGATGCAATAATAAAGCAGAAGTTTGGGGTTGGGTTGGAGACCGGCCAATGTTTTTACCCTCTAAGCTTTGCTTTTTCAAAAATAAAAAAAGATTGGGTCTACAAAAAAAGGGGGAGTGAAATTGAAAGAACAACCTTTTTCTGATTCCAGCCTTTGGTGACTTAGGTCCCATTTCCGAGGGAAAATTATTAAAACAGTCTTAAACCTATTGCAATTATGTCAATTCAGTCCTAAACCTTTTATATTTGTGACAATTTAGTCCTTTCAGTCAATTTTGGTAGGCTGTAGCTGACATGGATGCCAGCCGGCGCTAGTCGACGTTGAGTGGCAAATCTAATTTTTTTTTTTCGATTTTTTAAATTTTTTTCTCTCTCTTTTTTTTTCCTATTCTTCTTCCTCTGGCCGGTTGGTGGACCGATTAGGGGCTGAGGCCAACAAGGTCCAAATCTAGGCAACCTTGCCCAGCAATGGCGAGGTCTTGCCATATATGCACAACCTCGCCGTCGTTGGGCGAGGTTGAGCCTCACTAGGGGTGGGTGAGGCTTGCCCTCGTCAGCGCCGGCGAGGGTGAGCCTCACCAATGGCCGGCGAGGTCAACCTCGCTGGCCTCAGCCTTTAGCCGGTCGTCGGATCGGCCAGGGGAAGAATGAAAGGAAAAAATAAAATAAAAAAGAGAAAGAAAAAAATAAAAAAAATATTTAAAAATTACCACGTCAGCGTCGACTGGACGGTTGGTGCCGGCTGGCGTCCATATTAGCGCCGGTCGGCCAAAATTGACCGGAAGAACTGAATTTGCATAAATACAAAATATTTAGGCTTGAATTGGCACAATTGCAATAGGTTTAGGATTGTTTGGGTAATTTTCCCCATTTCCGACCAACTTGTTCTCGTAAAATTAGTTTAATTAAATCAAATGAAATGCATCATGAGCGTCGATCTACATTTTTCTCTAATTGAGATACGTATGGACTATGGAGCTCGGACACCTAACCTTAGTTAAGGCCTTAACTAAACACCAGTTAATTTATTGGGAAGCTGAAAGTTGGTAGCAGATTGCTTCAAGTCGTCACTGGCCCAAACTAAATATTAAGAAAAGACTGCTGCGGGTCGCCTCAATCAAGACAAGAGTAGCGGACTCATAGACAATCGAGTAATACAAATGATGACCATAAAAAAATGGAGATAGATGGATGATTTTGTGCATTTTGTATGTATTTTACTTGGCCGGTCACCTCCACCAGTGTCTTAAGTCCCCATTCTCACCTCCACCGCTAATGGACAATTGATTAGGTATTAAGTCCTAATCATTTACTTGCTCCTTGTCTGCCATTATTAGGAAGAAATGAGAAGACAAATAGAGGTGAAAAGCGGGTGAAGCACGCAGACTTGGTGGAGATGGGAGCAATGGAACCCACGATTTGGATGGTTTTGTCTATTTGATTCTCCAAGGGTGTTTGGAGCCATTTTAGGGGTGAATTAAAAAGGCATTTTTTTCTGGTCATTACTTAAAAGGAATTATGTTATCGAATGTTTCCAAATAGTTGTTAAGCAATCAATTGTGGGAATTTTGTAGCTTCCAATGCATTGAGTTCTCATATTTTGTGGAATATATGCTTGGAAATTGAGTTTTGATACTAAATATTGCTTAACAAATTCCCCAAGATACTTGCTACTTATTCATTTGAAGAATTCACTCTAACCCTCGATCACAATATATTGGATATGTGCAATTATTTCGTGAATCTAGTATAAATATTAAATCGAATCTAGCATACCCTCTATTGATATTGAATGATTGAGAAGGTGAAACTCTTTTGCTACCCATTGTTTTCTTAACGAAGTTAATTAGTAATCAGACATGTTTTGATGATCATACCAAGTTTCAAGTTTCAACCCTCTTCGTTTCTGGTCTAATTTTAATGACGTCCAATTTCTATATTACTGGCTTTCGTATTTCTCCTAGGAAGAAACCTAATCGATGAAAGGGAGCTGCTATAAGATTTAAAAAATAATTATCTATTGACCAGTAGATTCAAAGAGAGACTTTAGAACATATTAATCGTTTTTTTTTTTCTGTTTTTGGGGTTCATGGTAATTTTTCTGTTTGAAAAATTACCAATTCAGTCTTAAAGATGTTTATTGTATGGAATCCAATGTAGCCCTAAAATTTTCAATTTTGTTAAAGTAGTTTTAAACCTTTGTATGAGTTTTCAATGTAACCCTTTGGCCAATTTTCACCTAAAATTGCTAATGTGACGGTCCAGTTATTGCCGACCATCTTACGTGGCACAACGACGATCTAACCTAGACAAATTTTGAGTATGATTTATAGATACTATCTAATTACTAACTCGAATAGCATTTTCTTGTTGAGAATTGGATTTATTATATTACCAATATTGTTGAACCTGAGTTAAGAATAAAATGTCCGGTGAAAACAAGGATAAAATGAGAGATTTAAAATGTCCGGTGAAAACAAGGATAAAATGAGAGATTTAGATCACAATTTTTAATCACATTCAATCCTACCCCGCTTAAGTATAACAATTTTAAGAAATGATAAAGACTTTGAAAATATAACATTAGATATTGAAAATTTAAAAGAATGGTGACATTTTAATGATGTTCCTACCTAACTTTTATGGTTGTGTTTGGTCAGTCTTAATAAGCTAATGTTCCATAGAACAACATTTGATTTAAGTGAAAACCCTATCAATTTTCTCATTCTCAATTTCGTATTTGAAGGATAATAGATCTTGCTATGCATTGCGATAAATATGTTCGTATCTAAACTACTTAAGTATGGAAGAAATGGAGGAGCCGAGTATCAAGTCAATCGATAGTCAAGTCGATTTGTCAGACTCTTATTAATGATGTTAGCCGGGGCTCTCCACTTGTAGAGGTTACTAAGCTAGATAATGTTAACAACAGTCAACTAGAGGGATATCCCGAGTTATATAATAGACTGCAAACGGACCTTTAAACAAATGGTCATATACAACAACAAAGAGAAGTTTCACACGTCGCATAATTATTCAATTTAATAAATCAGTTTTACTATACCTTTTCTTTTTTGCTAGAAAGTATTGTCATTCATTGATCATCGAAGAGCCGTACGGGAAGACATAATTTGTAGGAAAAACGGGAAGACCAGGTTACGCTAAATCTTGGCCTTTCCTGGAGTAGAGCAGAGTATCAATGGCTAACTTGCACTCACTCTCACTGATGATGCTTGGGAGCTGCAGGTCGGTTTGCGAGGTTGCAAGGCAAGAAGGATGGGAAAAAGGAAAGATCTATGTTCTCCTCTCTCCGTGGGTTTGAATTGGATTTTCTCAAGCCGCTTCCTCCATCAAGGACGGGCATTTCACAGCATTCAAGCTCGTCACTGGCAATTTCAGCGAGGGGCTCAACTTTAGCAGCACAAGCCACGACTGCAAAGTCAAAGCCCTTCTTTTTCGCTTTGGCTTCACAGACAGTTTTGTTGATCAACCAACTTTGCTTCAGTGTTGCTAGAACAACTTTAAAACATTTTAAAAAGAAATGGGTCCCTTGTCTGCCATTATTAGTAGAGGGAAGTAGGAAGAAAACAAAATGACGGTGAACAGCGGGTGAAGCGCGCAAGCTTGATGGCGATGGAGATGGTGAGGAAGGGGACCGACAATTTGGAATAATTTCGCCCTTTTGACGGGGCTTCCCTGACACTGCCTAAAGAGATGCCCACCAAGACAAAAGCCATCTCGAATCTAACTAGAGTACTTAATACTTAAAAAATCTTTTATTCACACCCATCATTTGAAGCTGGTGTTCTGGACATAAGAACTCTTGTTTCCTCTCCGCTCAGTACACTTTGTTTCAAACCATCCAGGCACTCTTGTTTAATCCTGTACCTCTCCCGAACCAAGCCATGCCCATCGCGGAGCTCTTTCTTGGCGCCCTTCTTCCGGTGCTGTTCGAGAGTTGGCCTCTCGCGAGCTGCTCAACTTTGCACGCCGTGAGGGGATCGATAAGCTGATGAAGAAATGGGAGAAGATGCTGATCAGCATCAACCAGGTGCTGGATGATGCAGAGGACAGGCAACTGACCGGCCATCTTGGGGTGAAGTTGTGGCTCGAAGATCTCAAGAACTTGGCCTACGACATCGAAGACTTGCTTGATGAGTTCGCCACAGAGTCTGTGGAAAATAAGTCCAAGGCAAAACCTGGCACTAGCAAGGCGCGCTCCCTTCTTCCGAGTTGTTGCTTAAAATTGAGCTCGAGAGCATTTATGTTTGACCGTAAAATGAGATCCGCGATAGAAGAGATGGATGACAGATTGAAGGATGTCATCACTCGGAAAGATACTCTGAATTTGAGAGAGAATAAGGGGAATCGATTAGCATACCCCCGACAGGATGAGCCGCATACCACCACGCATTTGCCCGAGCCTGGTTTTGTTAGTAGGGAGAATGAAAAAAGGGAGATCCTCGACTTACTGACAGGAGAACATGATGATAGAACATGTGTGGATCTAAAAGTGATTCCCATTGTAGGGATGGGGGGTGTTGGGAAGACAGCTCTCGCTCAGCAAGTCTACAATGATGCTAGAGTCACTGGCTACTTCGATGCAAAAGCATGGGCTTGTGTTTCCGATAATTTCGACATGCTTGCTATTACAGAGAGAATCCTGGAGACAACTAGTGGCAATTTGTCCTGTGAAGATAAGGACCTGAACTGGCTTCAAGATAAGCTCAAAGAAAACCTTTCAGGGAAAAAATTTCTTGTTGTTTTAGATGATGTTTGGAATGAGAAGTATGGAAACTGGACTGCCCTTTTGAAGCCTTTTCAATCAGGAGCGAAGGGAAGCAAGATTATCGTCACGACTCGAAACAAAGGCGTTGCTTCAGTAGCCGGTGCTTCACCCTATTATCTCAAAGAGTTGTCAGAAGATGCTTGTGTGACTTTGTTCGCATTTCATGCCCTGCAAGTAGAAAATTTCGATAGTCATCCCCATCTTGAAGAATTAGGTCGGAAAATAGTGGAAAAATGCAAAGGGTTGCCATTAGCCGCGAAGACATTGGCCGGGTTGCTACGCGGCAAATACGATCCCCAATATTGGAAAAATATATTGAAGAGCCAAATTTGGGACCTACCGGAAGAAAGAAATGAGATTCTTCCGGCTTTGAAACTTAGCTATCTCCATCTTCCATCTAATCTAAGGAGATGTTTCGCTTATTGTGCTATATTTCCCAAGGACTATGAAATTGAAAGGGACGAGTTGATTCGCTTGTGGAGTGCAGAGGGCTTCTTGGAGGGAAAAGAAGGAAAGAATCGTTGGAATGCAGGTTTGAATTATTTCGACGAGCTCGTATCTAGGTCGTTATTTCAAAAGTCGAGTAGCAATAATTCACGATTCTTGATGCATGATCTTGTGAATGACCTGGCAAAGCTAGTTGCCAGTGCAACCTATTTTAGCTCAAAGGAGTTTGAGTCTGAGGGTGATCAAAGTAATGCATTTTTAGCTCGTCATGCCTCATTTATTTGTAGCAATCGTATTGTGCCACAAAGATTAAAGATATATCATGGAATGGAGAGACTTAGGAGTTTCATATCGATAGAGAAATCAAGGTACTATGATAGGTCCTATTTGTCCAAGAAAGTGCTATGTGACTTGTTGTCTGGATTGAAGTATTTGAGGGTGCTTTCATTAAGTCACTATTACATCAAAGAGGTACCGGATTGCATAGGCAAATTGAGGCACCTAAGGTTCCTCAATTTGTCGTATACTGATATTGAAACGCTTCCAAAGTCGATTGTTGCATTGAACACCCTAGAGGTTTTGATATTGCAGGGCTGTCAAAACATTACCGAATTACCGGAAGGTATGGAGAAACTGATCAATCTGAAATGTCTCGACATTTCCGACACTTCAAGCCTGAGAGCAACGCCTCTGTATATAGGTAATTTGGTGGATCTTGAGATGTTGTCCAAATTTATAGTGGGAATAGAAAATGGGTCGAGATTGAAGGAGTTAAAAAACCTGAATAACCTCGAAAGGGAATTGTGCATCTTTGATTTGCATAAGGTTCGAGAAGCCGGAGATGCCAAGGATGCCAACTTATGCATGAAGGAGGGAATATGCCAGTTGAACATGCAATGGTGCAATGATTTTGAAAATTTCCGGGATGAAGAGCTTGAAGCGGAAGTCCTGGACTTTCTTTGCCCTCACCAAAACCTTGCAAATCTCGAAATATCCTACTATGGTGGCCTAGAATTCCCGTCATGGTTAGGAAGCCCCTCATATGTTAACATAGTACATTTACGTCTACAAGGGTGTCGTAGGGCCAAAGCATTACCGTCACTCGTCCCTCACCTTGAGAAACTGGTCATTCGGGATTGCCCTATGTTGATCGGGAGATTTCCTAGTCAACTAAGTTCCCTCAAAAAGCTAGAAATCAACTCCTGTCCAAGTATGGATGCCTCGCTCTCTACCACGAGCCTTCCATCTCTCAAGAAATTAAAGTTGGCAGGTTGTAACAAGGGGGTGCTGGAGAGTTTGGTAAACCTCACATCTCTAACCGATCTTGTCATAGAAGTTGATGACCTGACTTACTTAAATCATGGGTTTACAAGCTCCTTGATCAAACTAGAGAAGTTAGAGATGCAATGTTGTCACAAGTTGAGGTACTTGTGGCAAGACAGTGATGTAATCCGAGATCTCGCTTGTCTAAAGAGCTTACTCGTCAATAAATGTCCCGAATTCCTATCTTTTGCGGCCGGAGAAGGAGAAATACAGCTGCCCGGCAACTTCGAGATTATTGGGTTGAGGCATTGCGACAATTTAGAGAAGCTCCCAAGCAAGATGCACACCCTCTCCTCTCTTAGAGACTTGACCGTCCTGGACTGTCCAAAACTCGTGTCCTTCCCTGAAACAGGTATATCAACGTCAGTGACATCATTAGCCATTATGAAATGCGAGATGTTGCAATCTTTACCGAGAGGATTGAGAATTCATTCGGATGAACCAAGCAGTGGCGGCAATACCCGCATTGACATGACGTCTTGTCTGCAAGAATTAAGAATCAACGGATGCCATTCTCTGCCAGCCTCTTCCTTTGGCGAGGATAGATTTTTACCTGTGACCCTCAAAACACTTGAGATTAGGTTATGTAATGGAGTAGAGTCGTTCGCGGAGATAAATGTAGACCGTTTTCAGTCGCTTCAAACGGTTGTAATTATGGATTGCGAGAATTTGAGAAGCTTACCCCAGGGCCTACACACACTGTCCCATCTCACTTCCTTGACATTGGGCAAATGTCCTGCTCTGGAGCTGGAGTGCTTCCCTCCACTTCCTATCAGCATCTCGAGCTTTTCGCTTGAGAGTAGTCCCAAGATAACATCGTTACCTAATCAGTTGCATCGACTTCCATGTCTCCGTGATTTCGAAATTTCGGAGTGTGAGAGTATTACGCGCTTCCCCGACGGAGGATTGCCCCCCCAGCTACAGGAACTTACGGTAATGAGATGCGGGAATATGAAGCAGCCGGTGAGGGAGTGGCTTACCCCCCTCACCTCGCTTGAAATGCTGATCATCGACGGCAGCGTGGGAGGATTGGGAGAGGAGGAGGATCTTTGGCTTCCGCTCCCTTCCTCTTTGCTCCGTCTCGGAATCGTAGATATGCAGAATGCGGAAAGACCGTCGAGCAGTTTCCCTCCCTCTCTCCGGACCTTATGGATCGTCGGATGCCCGAAGCTGAGGGAGTTGCCCCTGGATGGCCTCCCTCCCTCCCTAGAAGTTCTCTGGATCCGTGAATGCGGGATTCTGGAGGAGCGATGCAAGAAGGGGACCGGCCGCTATTGGCCCCTCATCCGCGAAATCCCGCAGGTCAGATTCACCGGTGACCCACCCCGGTCAATTACTTAAAAGGAGGATTCGGACTCGAATATTATTATATGCGCGGGAAGAGATGGGGGCTTTGATGTCTGAGCTTTGGCCTTTCGAAAAAGGGTTTCGTATTTTTAGACCCAAATATTATTATTACTACGTTACTCTTTAATAGTAAGCTGAAGCAAAGCAAAGCTTCGATGGTCCAAAATCCCCCACAGTCGCCGCGCCGTCTCCTTCCCCCCTCCTCGTCGCGCCGCCGCTCCTTCAGGCACTCGCACGGCGTCGTCGCCCGCCCGCCCGCCTGACGCCCCCCGCCACCGCTCGTCCACACCACCAGAGCCTTCCCCCCTCGTCGCCTCTTCTCCGGTAGTATCTGGGTGCTTTCTTCCCGGCGCTTCGCGTGGACGGCGATGATTACAGCGGCTCCTGCGCGGGGATTGTTGTGCCTGTTGAAGAAGATTCGAGAGCGATGAATCGTGCCGTTCTTCTCTTTTGCTGAATTCCCGCGTGTTCAAAAAATCCATGTCCTGCTCTAGGTTTGGATTTCTCGTCGTTTTCGGGTAATTCGATTCGTCCTCGGACTCTGTTTTTTTTCCTTTCTCTTCGTTGGGTGCGTTGGTCTGCCTTCCTACGTTGTTAAGAGGATTCGACTTCTGCTTTTTCGCATGACCCGTTTTTGTTTTGTTTCTTTTTTGGCCGGTGCAGGTTTGAGAATCGAGCAAAATTGTTGAACATGAAGGAAGTCCCGAACTTCTCGGCGGTTCGCAACTCGAGAACTTCGAGCTGAATTTCTGAGAGATCGTCTTTTCTCGCGTTCAACGAGGAGTGGAGGATGGGGATGCCATGCCAAAGCCACCCCTGCACCAGCTGTGCTCGTGTGCCGGGCTTCGACGGCGACGGATATCGGTACAGCAAATGTGGGTGAGGCCTAGTTTGAGTTTCACATTTTCAGTAGTAGCAAGCAAGCAGGCCTTACTATGCTTTTGTATGAGCAAGTGTGATAATTCAATTATTTGTCTATGTTTTACAGGTCATTCTCTGTCCTTATCAATCCGAGAGCATCAATTGACTGGTATGCTCTTGCTGTCAGTTCAGATTATATGGTTGTGGAGTAAAATTGGAATTTAGAACAGGATCTCTCTTGAAGGGTCGGTACATTCCCTCGTTCACCCTCCATTGGGTTGTGGATAATCTTTGTCAACTCCATCAGAAATAACAATAAACTCTGGTTCGCACGTGTGATCTCATGTAGATTTCTATGCCTCGATATATTTGATTAAAATCAGGTATGATCCATCTTGCCATTTACTACTTCTAAAATTTGGCATCAGTTCCCCTATACATTGAAAAGCTTCGCATGATTTCATCAATCCAGCAAAAATATCATAAGTCTGGGATGTTATTAAGGGACTGTTGCATTTGAATTTGGATTCTCAGCTTATTTTTTGCATTCTACCAGTTTTCTGCATTCATCCGCCAATTCTTTTGTCATCGCTGTGCTCTGTCTCATTCGCCAAGTCTTTAAATCTTGCTTGCCTTAAGATTACATTGGAATTCCATTGGTGAAGTTTGTACCCAGTGACCTATAGCAAGTTCTATATACCCTTCCTTCACCATCGCCTCACTGGTATTAAGTCTAGCAGAAGATGCTGAAGGGGACCCTGGATGTGAGATTGCTCCTCATTGTAGAGAAGAAGGGAGATGCCACTGCAGGCTTTGTTCTTAAGATCTTGACTTTGGTGGAAGCTTTTCCGTGATTAGTTGGTTCTTGAATTACTCGCAGGGATAGAGGTATGTATATGTTCTCTTTCCCTGTTCAATAAGTGTCTGTTTTTCCCTGGTGTTCAATCCACTAGATGAATCTAAAGTCTGGACAAAATTTATATGATAAATAAATAGCAAATACAAGTTTGAAAATGTTTGAAAGTTGCATCACATCAAAGAAGTGTAGCTCAGAACTTCAGATGGATGGAGCAAGTTCATGTCATGTTAATGGCAGTTAGGTGCTTTAAATCCTCTTTCCTGTTTTAGTCTTGAAACTCCATTTGAACACATATACTAAGTTGTGGAATGTACCTGACTAATGTCCCTTATATCTCTGATTCTGATATGCGAAAATTACTTTTGCAGCATTCACCAGAAGTGGAAGGAACTCGGTACTAACTTTCTGTCTGCATTTGCCGATACAAAGTACTTATTCCCACCCACGCAATCTTCTCATTTCTGAGCATACTGTGACGCACATCGAAATCTATGGGGGAAAACAGATTTATTGCGCCTCAAGGCCGTCAACCCTTCCAGTCCAGCATTTTACTGACCATCCAAGATTAAGGAATTGTTTAGCCTGTTGGAGTACAGACACAAATGAAGGCGTTTCACGTCCTGGATAACACTCAATGAAATCTTTGCCCATTGTTCATTTTGATAACTATTCTTATTCTGCTTTATGGAATCAACGATGCATAGCTCGGTAGTCGGTGGTTGGCAAAGTTTAAAGGGTGGGTAGGTTTGTTTCTGCTATTTCTTTTGACAAGCTGTTTGAAGGACACAAGCAATGATCATGGGGTATAATCAGAATCTTGAAAGAATCTCTTCTGAAGGATTAGCATATTGTCTGCATTCTACTTGTTTTGTTAAATTTCCAACAAATTGTCCGCATTCTACTTGTTCATTTCTAGCATTGTATCAAAGCACATGTCAATGGTTTAAAATTTCCCGTCTGTTATGTTGTTTGTTATCATTTCCCAGGTTATCTCATTGACGTGATTACGTCCACATTCTGTTGTGTGTAAGGGATCGGTTCTACGCAAGGGGAGTGATAAGTTATACGTTATATATACATAGCTGGGCATGTTTCCTAACATCTTAAGCTTTTAAAAAATGCATTTGTTTAACATGCAGCAATCAAATCAAACAGCATGACCAATCAACCAACCCTATGTTCTTGTTTGGTTCTTTCTTCTAGTAATTGTGGATTGTCTAGAAGACTTTCAGACAAGGATTATAAGCCTCTCATGAAATTATCGAATTACAACAAGATTTAAAGCTTGGACAGTTAAAGGCCGCTCATATGCCAGCAAACTTAAGCTTATTAAATCTGTTATTCATAGTCGGTTTAACTATTAGTGTCAACTCTTTTTGTTGCACAAGAAAGTTTTCGAAATTGTTGAGCAAAAGTGCAGAGCTTTCCTTTGGAAGGGAGATCTTGATGCTAAAGAGGGAGCAAAAGTTATATGGGACACTGTCTGTCCTCCTAAGCTGTTTGGAGGACTTGGCATTCGAAGTCCGGATTTGTGAAATCTTGCTTGTATTTTTAAGTGTCTGTAGAGTTGTTGAGGTGTGGTCTATATGTTTTGCCTGGCTCTATAGCTACCATCTTGACTGTAAACCAGATGCTACTCATGCATGGAAGAAGTTGTTAAAAGTCGGGAACATTTAGAAACCCCGCATTATACAAATAGTGGGTAATGGAGATAATATTTCTCTTTGGTATGAATTGTGGCACCATGCTGGGATCTTGCCAGAATCATTCTCAAGGAGAATAATTTATTACTCTTTTCTTCCTCTGCAGGCCAAAGGATCGGCTGTAGTTCGCAACTCTCATTGGAAATGGCCTGCTGCTAGGTCTGAAGAGTTGGTTCCCGTCCAAGCTGCAGTTTGGTGGTGTGATTTTTCTTGGTTCCTCAGCTGCAGACAAAGTTGTATGTACAGCTTCTTCAAATGGTTGCCTTAATTCTTGTGTCGCTTGGGATATTGTCAGAAACAAGAATGCTGATGTTGACCGGCACAAACTTGGGTGGTTCTCCCCTAATGTGCCAAGATTTGGCTTCATTTCTTGGTTAGTAATACCTGATAAACTTGCCACTTTTGAGAGGATTAACAGTTGGTCTGTTGGGAGTACTAGATGTCTCGGCTTGTTCTGTAATCTAAGCATTGAATCTCGATGTCGTCTATTTTTTAGTGCAGTTTCTCTAATCGACTACGCGGCAAGGTACTGCAACTTTGTTCTGTCAAACTAATCACTGAGTCTCGATGTTTAATGAAATCAAAATTATCAAGTTCTGTTAAAAATAGTTTTGAGAGTTGTCCTGGTCTTAAAAATAAGATTGGCATTGATAAGCATAGTAGGTTGTGTGTTGCTTGGAATCTAACTTTGCGAAAACTATTTAGCTAGAGTAAGGTTTGCTTGAGTTTGTGCTTATTGTTGCTCTTTGGTGTGTAGAGTTGTATGTTTTGCTCTATGTCATCTCTATGCTTGTGATGGCATGGCAGATAGATGTCAACTTCAACCCTCTTGTTTGGGGTTCAATCTTTATGAGGTCCAATTTCTATATTACTGGCCTTCACATTTCTTCAAATAGTTTTTGAGGAAGAACCCCAATCAATGAAACGGAGTTGCTATAAAAGTGATAAAGTAACTATTTAATTAACTACAAGATTCAAAGAGAGATTTTACAACATTCTACTCTTTTTGTGGTTCATGTTAGAATTGATCGGTATAATATCTGAGCTGGCTCTTTGAAAAGGGTTCATACTTTGGACCCAAAAATTAGGTACTTAAAATGTGTGTTTTAATTTTAGCAGATCATTAGTTAGCTGAAGCTATTGGCACCTCATCCACGAAATCCCACATGTGGACTGCACCTCAATCACAACCTCTGCTTCGGCTCTCCACTCCGTCGTCCTCACTCGATCACCGTCTCCATCTCCCCTCTTTGTCACGCTGATGCACCTCCAGCTCTCGCACGTTGTCGTCGCCCCTCTGTGCCTCCCACCGCTTGTCCCCATCTGCAGCGCCCTTGAGATGCGTCTCTCTGTCTACACGATCAGAGCCTTTCCTCGTCGACAAGGACCGGGTACGGAGAATTTACCTGATTTCTTTGGATTGTGCTGGCTGATTCTGCCGACATGGCTGAGAATTTGTCGATCCGAGAGCTCGCAGAGAGATTAGAGCGCAGCGATTTTGGATGCTTTGGCGAGAGAGAGAGTTGCAAGTGGAGCGACGGCGTCTTTTCTCTCTTTTAGCTCCCCAAGGCATGTATAATCCTGGGAATTTCTAAGTACACTTGGAAGTACAATCTGGTAAGTGTCTCCATACTGAACTCAATTGGTCCATTAAACCATGTCAGTAGGTTACGAATTAGGGTAAGTCTGCTTTGAAATAGGGGGGGAAAGGTGGATTTTTTTTTCCGTAATTACGAGGTTATTGCACTAGGAAGTGGTTGCTTTGTTGATTCAAGATGAGTTTAGGACTCTTCGATCGTGAAATCGGTTCTTAGAAATCTCTGCTCTTGACGGGTTAGATAATCATTGTGGTTAGCGGAGTTATGATGAGTGTTGGAGTATCCAGATTGTGAATTCGGTTCTCAGATGGATTCGATGTGGTTAACCTTAGACAATTCATCTTGTTGCGTAGATAATCTCTTGGAAAAAACTTGAAAATCGGCTGTGTTTCACTTTTAAGTCAGCAATTAAGTGAAGTTGTGAGCGGATGGTTTTGTTTACTCGTAAAATTGAACACACTGAAGCAAGACCCTTTTAAGTACTCAGAATGCTGTTGAATAGAAATTCTGTGTTAATTGTAGTTTAGACTGAAATCGACGGAGGATTTTGCTCCTGAAAAGCAGTCGTCATGATACTATTCAGTTCTCGATGTCGCCAGAAGCTGATCAATTTGGGAACTCTGATGTTGATAGGTGAGACATCAAGAGTTGTTCAATGAAGAAGGGTGTGAGGCAAAGTGACTGTTGAATGGAGACGGGAAGCCTTACGTGACAGAACTCAAATTACATTGTAGACTTGTATTTCAAGACTCCGCTTAAGGACGGTCCCGCCGCAGGAAAGGAGATATCTTCGCTGGAGGGAGTGGTGGAGCATGGGTTCTTGGACATGGCAACAGCTGCGAATATTGCCGGAAACGCCAGCTTCGATGTGAAGACGAAGTAACATTTTTGCCCAGCAGTCACCTTGGTGAGAATTGTATTCTTCATTAGATTCAAATAGATGGTATCTTGCATCTCCTTAATGGTTAATCATGTTCCATTTGTTCTAGAACAACTCAAATGTGCAGATGGGTCCTCCCATGCTTGAAGTGTAAATCATTCCACTTGCAGTAGCCCTTGTAACGCTCATTATCGAGCCATTTCGAATATACTCTGCTCATCAGTTTCTGCTGTTATGATAGACAATTGCATTCATGGTTGTAACTTGTGAGTACACTCCTGTCGACTGTCGCATATCCTTTGTTTATTATTCAATATTGCTAATAAGACTATGGAAGTGATTCAACTGAAGGGAGATGAAAACCAGAGGTTTCTTGGGTGAACCGATTTGGCCTTCTATTTTGAACCATGTCATACTGGCTATTGATATAGAGAAGGAGAGAGTGCGACTAAAAGATGGACCTGCTAATTTAGGATGTTTAAGATTTCTAGTTTAATCTTCAGGATTCAGCAAATTACCATGGATTCATCTTTGTTAGATGCCATTCTCGCTGTTTGCTATTATATGGATTATCAGTTGTATACCATTTATCACCTTAATCTGTGACTAATGTTGATCAGCATCAGAATCTCTCTGCGAAGATCAAATCTTTCTGTGAAATTTTCTAGATATGATGCAATGAGCCTGGCTAAACTCAAGGAATGTCTACCCCAAGACACGACTCATGATTTTGAAAAACAGTGCTCTGCCTAGGGCGTCAATAGCTCTGTTAGCTAGGCTGAAAGCTAAAAGAAAAGCGAAGAAACACACGATCAAGATGTTTCGCAATGCGCCAGTTTTGTTTGATCCTAGAATGGTTGCAATCTTCGGAAGCCTCTGTGAAAGGAGTTAAAGCACTGATCTCTTTTATACATGTAATATAGTGTAGTGTGGTGTAGGGTCAACCATTCAATAGACACGTTTCTATAACAATTTTAGACAAGAATGTCACTTCAACAAATAAAGAACAAAGTGCAACGTAAGCCATTGCACGAATCGAAACTGGGTATAATCTATACGCCTTTAGTACGACTCCACGTGAAGCCTCGGTCTCGTGATGCCCTCTTCTAGTTCCCTATAACCAAAGCCATAGATGCTGTGAAGATGGTCATCCACAGCAGCTTCCCAGGTAGGAACACGTGGGCTGATGAGAAACGAGAAATTAGGCATTCGGTTTGGTGAAAATTTCACTAGATTGTAGTTCATAAATGCCCTGTTTAATGTTCTTTAAGGAAATTGATGACTTGGATTGTCTTCATTCAACACCAAATGCACAGTCAAAGGCTGTTTACTACCGTAGGTGGTGTGACTATGTTAATAGCTGCCATTTCAGGTTGAACTACATGGTCATCAATAAGTACTGATTATGAAGGATAAACTTCTCTTTTTTTACTTAATTGAAACCTTAGAAAGCAAGTAACCTGTTCTTAGGAAAACTTGTTTTGGCCATAAAAAAAATAAGAGAGAGAGAGAGAGAGAGAGAGAGAGAGAGAGAGAGAGAGAGAAGTTTTTGGAATCTCACCATAACTTCCGCCGTCTAATCCTGTGGTAGACGAGTTGGAAGCTTTTATTCCGAGCTTTTCATAGTTGTTACCAAGTGCGCCTTTGGAAAATCCAACACAAGACATATTAAAGGAAAGCATGTGTAAGTGGAAAAACCGGAATTAGTATGAATTGCAATCTTGAGTCTTTGAATTCCTATCTTACAATCTTGAGTCTTTGAATTGGTTCTTGATGTTGCAAGAAGCTGATCGATTTGGGAATATTGATGTTGATAGGTGAGCTTCCAAGAGTTGTTCAACAAAGAAGGGTGTGAGGCAAAGCTACGATTGAATGAAGACGGGAAGCCTTATGTGTACATTGTAGACTTGTATTTCAAGACTCCAATTAAGGACGGTCCTGCCGCTGGAAAGGAGATATCTTTGCTGGAGGGAGTAGTGGAGCACGGTTTGTTCTTGGACATGGCGACAACTGTGATTATTGCCGGAAAACCGGCGTAAATGCGAAGATGAAGTAACATTTTTGCCCAGGAGTCACCTTGGTGAGAATTGTAATCTTCATTGGATTCAAATAGATTGTATCTTGCATCTCTTTAATAGGTAATCATGTTCATTTTGTTCTAAACAATTCAAATGTCCATATGGGTCCTCCCATCCTCAAAGTGTAAATCATTCAATTTGCGGTAGCCCTTGTAACACTCATTATCGAGCCATTTCGAATGTACTCTGCTCATCAGTTTCTGCTGTTATGATAGACAAAAACCAGAGGTCTCTTGGGTGAAGCGATTTGGCCTTCAATTTTGAACCATTGCATGTCGTACTTTCTTGGAGAAAAGAACACTAGAAGTGCCAAAACTTGTGTACGGCATTCACTTTAGTGCCAAAAATTTCTGCCGGATCACTTAAGTGCCAAATTTTTTGAAAAACGATCACTTAAGTATCAACTTGAGTCAGTTTGACCAAAAATCCGACATGGCATTTTTTTATTAATTTCTAAAGCCGATGTGGCTCGCTGGAGGTTTAGTCAGTATGTACAGTCAGCATGTACACTTCAAAACGGCATAGTTTAGCATGTACACTTTGATTTTTTAATATTTTTTCTGATTTTTTCTTTTTTTACTTTTTTACTTTTCTTTCTTCTTTTTCTACCTTTGGCCGGTGACCGGACATCGGACATCAGCCACCAGCCATGGCCGGCCGCCTGGCCTCGCCCGGACGAGGCCGCCATCGCCCGCCACAGGCGAGGCCCGGCCGACTCTCGCCTGGGCGAGGGCAGGTGAGCCCCGGCGAGGGCTCCCCTCGCCAAATCCGGCGAGGCCGACCCTCACCCAGTGCCGGGCATCGCCCAAGGGCCAAAGGTAGAAGAAGAAGAAAAAAAGACAAAAAGAAAAAAATCAGAAAAAAATCAGAAAAAAATATTTAAAAAATCGAAGTGTACATGCTGACTAAACCTCCGGCGAGCCACATCGGCTACAGAAATTAATAAAAAAATGCTACATCGAATTTCCGGCCAAACTAACCGTAGTTGGCACTTAAGTGATCGTTTTTCAAAAAGTTTGGCACTTAAGTGATCCGGCAGAAACTTTTGGCACTAAAATGAGCGCCGTACACATGTTTTGGCACTTCTAGTGTTCTTCCCCCAAAAGAAAAGCGAAGAAACGCATGATCAAGATGTTTCACAAACCACCAGTTTTGTTTGATGCTAAAATGGTTGCAATCTTCGGAAGCCTCAGTGAAAGGAGTAAAGCACTGGTCTATTTTATACATGTAATATAGTGTAGTGTAGTGTCAACCATTCAATAGACACGTTTCTATAACAATTTTACACAAGAATGTCACTTCAACAAATAAAGAACAAAGTGCAACGTAAGCCATCGCACGAATCGAAACTGAGTATAATCTATACGTCTTTAGTACAACTCCACATGAAGCCTCGGTATCGTGATGCCCTCTTCTAGTTCCATAGAACCAAAGCCATAGAAGCTGTGAAGATGGTCATCCACAGCAACTTCCCAGGTAGGAACATGTGCGCTGATTAGAAACAAGAAATGAGGCATTAAATTTGGTGAATGCCCTGTTTAAAGTTCTTAAAGGAAGTTGATGACTTGGATTGTCTTCATTCAACACCAAATGCACTGTCAAAGGCTATTCATTACTGTAGTAGGTGTGACAGTTAATAGCTGCCAATTCAGATTGAACTACAAGGTCATCAATAAGTACTGATTATGAAGGATGAGCTTCTCTTTTTTGACTTAATTGAAACCTTAGAAAGCAAGTAACCTGTTCTCAGGAAAACTTGTTTTGGCCATAGAAAAAGATAAGATTAAGAGAGAGAGCTTTCTGGAATCTCACCATAACTTCCGCCATCTTATCCTGCGGTAGACGAGTTGAAAACTTTTATTTCAAACTTTTCACAGTCGTTACCGATTGCGCCTTCAGAAAATCCAACACGAGACATATTAAAGGAAAGCATGTGCGAGTGGAAAAACCGGGATTAGTATGGACTGCAATCTTGAGTCTTTGAATTTATATCTTACAATCACTGAAGCACGGGAAGACGCTGACATTCATGAGATTCGTGAAACCGGCATTGCATTGGCAAGTGTGCTCATAAGTTTTTGACTTCGTGCACGTCCCTCCTCCACAATATATCCAGTAGCAAGCTAAAAATAAAAAGAAAATAACACAAACAGTCCCTGAAATTTAGCTCAACGTGTAATGTGGTCCCTAGATCACATTGCGCCAAATTAAAAGTCGGTTATTGTTCAAGGAATATATTGAACAAATTAAAAGTCTAGGGACCATATTGCACATTGAGCCAAATTTCAGGGACTGTTTATGTCATTATTTCAAAATAAAACCCAAAAACCGATTAGGATTTTTCCTACAATACGACTTATGTATCAAAAGTATGAGTGAAGTGAAGATGATTTACGATCGAAGACAGATGTGTTGTATGGAACGGATGGGACTGGGGGAGGCGCGGGCACGCAGAGTACTCAACAGAACCTCAAGCATATGGCTTATCCTAACCATGCTAAAAAGGAAAAAGATCAATCCAAATATTGAAAATGCATGAAGTAACACCCAATTTGTTGGATTATTATCAATGATGTTAGCCGGCGCCCTCCACTTATAGAATTTACACTAAGCTAGATAATGTTTATAATAGTCAACTAGAGCGATATGCCGAGTTATATAACAAACTGCACACGACCTTTAAACAAATGGTCATATACAACAATAAAGAGACTTGCACTCGCTTTCATTGACGACGTTTGGGAGCTCCAGGTCCTTTTTCGAGGTTACTGGCGAGAACGATGGGAAAAAGGAAAGATATATGTTCTCCTCTCTCCATGGGTTTTGATTGGATTTTCCCAAGCCGCTTCCTCCATCAAGGACGCGCTTTTCACAACGTTCGACCACGTCACTGGCGATTTCAGTGAGGGGCTCAGCTTTAGCAGCACAAGTGACGATTGCAAAGTCAATTTCAATTTTTTTCTTGATCAGGCAACACCTGAATTTGAACAGGGGAAAGGGATTCGCAATCCTCCGCCTTACTGCTCGGCCGTGCCGCCAATATGCATGATACCCTACGAAATAGATGAAAAAAGTCTCCCTTTGTTTGCGTCGGGTGAGAGATTCGCAAACTTCTTTTTTTATTAGAATTGCATCTCGAATCCCGTTTTCTTAAATTTGATCCTTTGCCCAAATGCCCGAAAAGAAAAAAATCCTTTGTTTTTTGGATTGGATCCATCCTTCGGTTGTATATTTAGTATCTCAAAACCTAAATATCTAAAAAAAATTCCCTTTCTTTTTTATATTGATATTGAAAAATTGAAAAACCAAATGTGGTTTTTCGGTCACAAATGCCAAAATTTAGGAATAATTGGAGCCGCCTTTCATTTTCCGGAGACACAATTTTGTTGATCACACGCTTTGATTAAGTGTAGCTAGCACAACTTTAAAACATTTAGAAGAAAGAAATGTGCCCCTTGTCTGCCATTATTAGTGGAAGGAAATAAAAGAACAAAATAGAGGTGAACCACGGGTGAGGAAGTGGGGGGACCCCCAATTTGGAATAACTTCGTCCTTCTAATTCTCTGGGGGTGGATGGAGCCTTTTGACAGGAGAGGAGCATTATATTCCAACGTACTAAAGTTGTGATTCTCATAGGGCTTCCTTGAGTCTGCCTTTGGGCTAATATGCCATGGAGATCTAGTTGTGCATTAGAATTGGGCAAGGAATCTTTCCATCTACACGCCAATGGCAGCCCACCGGATAAAAAGCTAAAGGTTCTATCTGCCTTTGCTTAGAGATGAAGCAAGAAACGATGCTGGACATCTTGGCGAAACACATCCAATACTTTACCTCCGGTAGAATCAATGAATGTCGCATTACACAGATTGCTGCCTCAACGTCCATTTTTCAGTGTAACTGGATTAAAGAGATGCCACTAAGACAAAAGCCATCTCGAATCAAACTAGAGTACCTCTTAATAAGTCTTTCATTCACCCCTGATGCTATTGTCCTAGACGTAAGAACTTTTTGTTTCCTCTCCACTCGGTACACTTTCTTTCAAACCATCCACGCACTCTTGTTTAATCCTCTGCCGCTCCCGAACCAAGCCATGCCCATCGTGGAGCTCTTTCTTGGCGCCCTTCTTCCTGTGCTGTTCGAGAGGTTGGCCTCTCGCTAGCTGCTCAACTTTGCGCAGCGCGAGGGGATCCATACATTGCTAAAGAAATGGGAGAAGATGCTGATCAGGATAGACGAGGTGTTGTATGATGCAGAAGACAGGCAATTGACCGGCGACCCTGAGGTGAAGTCATGGCTCGAAGATATCGGGAACTTGGCATATGACATTGACGACTTGCTTGATGAGTTCGCCACAAAATCCGCAGAAAACAAGCCCAAAGCAAAGCCCAGCTGTAGCAAGGGGCAATCCCTTCTTCCCAGTTGTTGCTTCAGATTGAGCCCATGTGCATTTATGTTCGACTGCAAAATGAGATCCAAGATTAAAGAGATGGATGGGAGATTACAGGTGATCGTAACTCTGAAAGATAGTCTGAGACTAAGAGAGAATAATGGAGAGTGACCAGCACACCGTCGACTGGATAAGCCGCTTCCCACTACGTATTTGCCCGAGCCTGGTTTTGTTAGTAGGGAGGATGAAAAAAGCAAGATCCTCGAATTACTAACTGGAGAAGAAGATGATAGAACATGTGCAGATTTAAAAGTGATTGCCATACTAGGGATGGGGGTGTTGGGAAGACGGCTCTAACTCAACAAGTTTACAGTGATGCTAGAGTCACTGGCTATTTCGATGTGAAAGCATGGGCTTGCGTTTCCAATTATTTCAATGTGCTTGCTATCACAAAGAGTATCCTAGGGACAACCGATGACCATTTGTCATGTGAAGGTAAGGACCTGAATTGGCTTCAAGATAAGCTCAAGGAAAACCTATCGGGGAAGAAGTTTCTTGTCGTTTTAGATGATGTTTGGAACGAGAAATATGGAAACTGGACTAACCTATTGAAGCCTTTTCAATCGGGAGCGAAGGGAAGCAAGATCATCCTCACCACTCGTAAAGAGGCGTTGCTTCATTAGCCGGTGCTTCACCGTATTATCTCAAAGAGTTGTCACAAGATGCTTGCATGACTTTATTCTCATATCATGCTCTCGGAGTTAGAAATTTCGATTGTCATTCCAATCTTGAAGAGTTAGGTCAGAAAATAGTGGAAAAATGCAAAGGGTTGCCATTAGCCGTGAAGACATTGGACGGGTTACTACGAACCAAAGTTAGTCCCCATGAATGGGAAGCTATATTGAACAGCAAAATTTGGGACCTACCAGAAGAAAGAAATGAGATCCTTCCATCTTTGAAACTTAGCTATCTCCATCTCCCGTCCAATCTAAGGAGATGTTTCGCTTATTGTGCTATATTTCCCAAGGACTATGAAATCGAAAGGGACGAGTTGATTCATTGGTGGATTGCAGAGCGCTTGTTGGAGGGAAAAGAAGGAAAGAACCGTTGGGATGCAGGTTTGAATTATTTTGACGAGCTAGTATCTAGATCGTTATTTCAAAAGTCGAGTAAAAATGAATCACGATTCTTGATGCATGATCTTGTGAATGACTTGGCAAAGCTAGTTGCCGGGACAACCTATTTTAGCTCAAGCGAGCTTGAGTATAAGGGTGAACAAAATAATGCATTTTTAGCACATCACGCCTCATTCATTTCCAGCAGTCATATTGTGCCAGAAAAATTTAAGATATATCATGGAACGAAGGGACTTAGGAGCTTCATATCGTTAATGAAGCAACCTAGGGATTTCTATAAGTCCTGTTTATCCGAGAAAGTGCTTTGTGACTTGTTGTCTGGATTGAAGTATTTGAGAGTGCTTTCGTTAAGTCACTATCAAATCAAAGAGGTATCGGATTGCATCGGCAAACTGAGGCACCTAAGGTACCTTAATCTATCGTATACTGTTATTGAAATGCTTCCAAAGTCAATCGTTGCATTGTACAACCTAGAGGCTTTGATGTTGCAAGGCTGTAGACACCTTACCCAATTACCTGAAGGTATGGAGAAACTAATCAATCTAGTGCTTCTCGATATTATCGACACTTGGAAACTAAGAGCGATGCTGCTGAATATAGGTCACCTGGTGGGTCTTGAGATGTTATCTAAATTCGTAGTGGGAATGGAAAATGGGTTGAGATTGAGGGAGTTAAAAAACTTGAAGAACCTTCGAGAGAAATTGTGCATATCTGATTTGCATAAGGTTCGAGAAGCTGAAGATGCCAAGGATGCCAATTTACACACAAAGGAGGGAATATGCCGGTTGACCATGCAATGGAGTAAAAATTTTGAGAATTTCCAGAATGAAGAGCTTAAAGCGGATGTCCTTGACTTTCTTCGCCCTCACCAAAACCTTGAAACTCTTGAAATATCCTACTATGGTGGTCTAGAATTCCCGTCATGGTTAGGAAGTCCCTCATATATTAACATAGTGCATTTACGTTTACATGGGTGTCGCAGGGCTAAAGCGTTGCCATCACTAGGGTAGTTATCTTCACTGAAAGAACTGTACATCAAAGGTTTAAATGAAATATGCAGGATAGGGTCTGAATTTTATGGAACTAAAAGTCCTTTTCCATCCTTAATAACTCTGGAATTCGAGGACATGCCATTGTGGGAGGAATGGTCTCGCTGTGTCGAGATTGAAGAAATAGGAGTTTCGTTCCCTCGTCTTGTGCATCTTGTCATGCAGAAATGTCCTGTGTTGATAAGAAGATTGCCTAGTCAACCAAGCTCCCTCAGAAAGCTCGAAATCAACTCTTGTTCACGCATGTATGCCACGCTGTCTATCATTAGCCTTCCATCTCTCAATGAATTAAACTTTGGGGGTTGTAATGATGGGATGCTGAAGAGTTTGGTAAACCTAACATCTCTAACCGCTCTTGTCATAAAAGACACTGCTGAATTAAGTAGCCTAAATTATGGGTTTACAAGCTCCTTGATCAAGCTGGAGAAGTTGGAGATGGAAAGTTGTGAAAAGTTAATTTACTTGTGGCAAGATAGATATGTCATTCAAAATCTCGCATGTATGAAGAGCTTAGTCGTCAAAAGGTGTCTGAAATTCGAATCTTTTGTTGCCGGAGAAGGAGACATAGAGTTGCCAAGCAACCTCGAGATTATTTGTTTGAGTTATTGCTTCAATTTAGAGAAGCTCCCAAGCAAGATGCACACCCTCTCCTATCTTAGAGACTTGACTGTCCAAAACTGTCCAAAACTCATGTCCTTCCCCGAAACAGGCATACCGACATCAATGATGTCATTATCTATTAGTGACTGCAAGATGTTGCAATCCTTACCTAGAGGATTAAGTATTCATATGGATGAACCAAGCGGCGGCAGCAATAACCACATTGACATGACGTCTTGTCTGCAAAAGTTAGCAATCTACATATGCGAATCTCTACCAGTCTCTCTATTTAGTGAGGGTAGATTTTTACCTCTGACCCTCAAGAGTGTTACAATTTGGGGCTGTAGGGGAGTGGAGTCGCTTGTAGAGATAAATCTAGACCATCTTCAGTCGCTTCAAAAGATTAAAATTGGGGATTGCGAAAATTTAAAAAGCTTACCCCAGTGCCTGCATACATTGTCCAATCTCACTTTCTTGGAATTGGACAAATGTCCTACTTTGAAGCTGGAGTGCTTCCCTCCTCTTCCCCCCAGCATCTCGAGTTTCTCGCTTTGGGATTGTCCGAAGATAAAATCGTTACCTAATCAGTTGCATCGACTTACATGTCTTCGTAATCTGACAATTTCAGGGTGTAACAGTATTACGCGCTTCCCCAATAGAGGATTACAGCCCCAGCTACAAGAACTTTGGTGAAGGAAACAGATTCCTAGAAATGCGGAAAGACGAAAACAAATTCCTAAACGACATAAAACTCGAACTAACGAGTATCGCCCAAAAATCGTATACGAAAAACGTACCCAGTATAAACTTGAATCACCGATCGTTAAAGTACATCACCAAGAGGGACATACCTTGTTTTCCACGGATTAAATGTTCCTTTTGCAACGTCGAGAGAGAGAACAATCCTTAGATCGTTGAACAAAATCCCTTCTTCTTTGTCCTTTTGTGAGAATAAGTTTCTGATTATGAAAAAATGCAAACCCACTCACACTCTTACGTGTGTTCTCACTTTTTGTGTCTAGACAATAACTGCCAAGTGCAGTTATTTCCTTTCATGAGCTGGGTTAGCCCATCATGAGCGGCCCATCATTCACAAAGAAAACCCATCATCTCCCACTCGCACATGGTGGGCTAAACATTAACTCTCTCTTTTATGCAATGTTCATATCAACAAATAATCCGTGCGACCAGCATACTTCGAGAGCTCGTTGCTATGCATCTGTTAGGAACACATAGCAGCTCAAATTGGGCATTACGTTATCGAGTAGATATAGTATGCAATACCCTAGATCAATCAGTCACATTTATATCTCTCTTGATCTCTTTTAGTATCTCGTATATTGTATTCACAACTATGATTTACTCAAAATCATAATTGGTCGACCTGTGAATACAAAAAAAAAATATGACATCACAAATAAATTGATCTTCCCCTTTCCTTAATCCTCTCCATTTCAGTTCAATTCGCTTTTCTAGAAATGCCCCATTAGATCGAATTATTCATGACCGTTGGCAACACCCTAAGATAGCGAACACTGAATAGAAATTTTAAGAATAAGTTAGAGTCGTGAGGGCATTTAATGAGGAACTCTTATCCTCAAGAGTCTCACACGGCATAAAGTTGAGATCAAAAACTTTTGCCACTCTTATAGGTCGTCTTATGCATACGTAGTATGAAATACGTATTACGGCATTCTCTCCTTCCCCTAGGAGCGCATGTCTTTATACTTAATGCCGTACAGATGATAGTTTAGATATACTTAATATCTAGACTTGAGTTCACGTATCTGCTCTTTTAAAGAATTCATCAGAACTCACATCTGGCATCATTGACAGATAAAGTAAAATATGTGGGTTATTTTACCTTTGGACATAGTAAATATTATATCCTCATCTTAATATTCAGTTAAGGCGACATTTGTAATTTAAGCTTGAGCTCTCAATTATCACCCAGATAATAAGCTTAAAAAAATTGTCTCATCCCTATTTATCGCACAGTAAATAGAGGCGATTACCCGTGTAAGTGGGCTAATCTCATCTGTCAGACATACTTTCTCGATATAATGCACTAAGCATTGAGATGCATAAATATTAAATAAATTCATAGGCATTAATAATGAGAGAGCAACTTCATCAAATGTGAACACTCAGGGAAAAATACAATATTCAGTACATCACTTTCTACGCAGTCCCAGAGATTTTACATGACCATAGAAAACATCTCTTGGAATTGGCTTCGTCATAGGATCAGCTATCATTTTTTGCGTAGATATGTACTGCAAGTTCACATCTTTTCGTGCAACCATATCCTTGACAAAGTTATACTTGGTATCTATATGTTTGGTCTTGCCATGATATTTCGGATCCTTGGTGTATGCTATCGCTGCTTGACTATCACTATTGACTAACAATGAGTTTTCAGCATTCTTAGCAACACCTAAATGATCCAAAAATCTCTTAAGCCAAACACCTTCTTGTACTGCTCCTGACAACGCCACGAACTCAGCTTCCATCGTGGACAATGCTATACATGTTTGTTTCTTACTGCTCCAAGATATGGCGCCATTATTCAGTAAGTAAACAAAACCAAAGGTAGATTTCCTTTCATCTAAATCTCCTCCCCAATCAGCATCTGAGTAGCCTTCAAGTCGCAGATCCTTGCCTTGATAACTCAGTGAATAATTAGCAGTACCCTTTAGATACCTCATGATTCTTTTTACGGCTTTCCAATGTGCTTGACCTGGATTGGATTGGTACCTACTTACCATCCCAACTGCAAAACATATGTCAGGTCTTGTACACATCATAGCGTACATTAAACTTCCAATAGCACTAGCATAAGGAACACGTTTCATTTGTTCCTTCTCTTGTGGAGTCTTAGGACACAACCTATGGCTC